AGAACTTACTAGTTTTTTTTATCCTTTCCTCTCATTGAGAAACAATAAGATGTCTGTTTATCGTTATCGATGTTTCTATATGTAATAATAAAGTAATTTATATAAGGTAATGGTTTATGTTATTCACGCATATTTATTTATTTATATATCAAAAATTAATTACGATCATATTACTTTTGATGAAAATTCTTTACCTTCTTTTGTCATTCCTGGACCAACCGGTATATCTACAGCTCCTTTCTCTAACATCCTTTTCAACTTCTCATTTTCCTCTCGAAGTTCTCTTATGAGTTTTTCTGTAGGATCTTCGTTAATAATAGCAACCGTTTTAATTTGTTTGGCACGATCGGCTAAATAATCATTATAAAATTAATAATTGTTTTACTGTATATATATATATATATATATATAAACACAATAGAAAGTAAGAAAGAATTTACCGTATCGAAGAGTAGAAAAGGTTTCTTCGTAGTTAATATCGGCTGGACTGATGGCGGCTATCTAAAATAATTATTTGGTTCATTATGTTTATTGGCGATAAATAGAAAGTTTTCAAATTAAAAAATATATATATAAAGTACCTAACTAACCATAATTGTTTTACTGTTTCCACCAAGAGCATTCATCAAAAGTCTGGTTAACACAGATTCTCGGTAAGGCACTATATATTCNAACGTTTAATTTCTTTTACTTTAAAATAATACTTTGAAAATCCAAATGATCCTATTTACGAAATATATAATTTAGTGAGATTAAAATGGATTTATACCAATCGTTGATGAAGTCTAGATTGTTGTTTCTTCATCAATAATAATTCAACTATTATGCTTTGTTTATTTGGATCGACTGTCTGAAAATAAGCGATATTTTAGCAAAATTTTATTCAAAATTAATATAAAAATTTGGATGTATTACGTACCCTTCCATTTATCCTAAATCCATTCATTAGATTGTTAGCTTGGTTCATTAAATCAGCTTGAAACATTTGCTTTGTACTTTTTCCTTTTGCCTTAGCCATGGCCGATTTTCTTGGTTTCTGTTTACCCCACACCTGTACCGTAATGTATCCATCTTGAATATAATCTATCATCTACAAATAAAAAAAAATAATAGATAGAATATATGAGATTTTATATCAGAAATTTTAAATTAATATCGTACTTGAGGCGTGACTGGATGAAAGGAAAATAATTTTTTATGATTAAAATCCGGGTTGGAAGTATCGCTGATGACTTCGGTGACTGTATCTTCTTTATCTAAATATACTCTATATCGGCAGTGTATATCCTAAATTAGAAAATTAACAAGCTTGAAAAATGTTTAATTAGATACCTAATTAGTTATTAAAAAGATATAATGATTTTTATTTTGTCAATTAGTCTCAATTCACTATTATTAAAATCATTAATTAAGAGAAATTTAGTGTATTTTAGTGAATAAAATTATCATAAATTATTTAAAAGAGATTTAAAAAATGTTTGAATCTTACTGTGAATCTCGTTGGCAAACCTCTACATCCGTGAATTTTAAAAATAAAATGTAAATCTCTTTCGATTAATTCCAATGGATTATCTATGAACATATCGTCGTTTTCCGTATATTCTAGTCCTTCTGGGGAACAAGGCATTATTTCGACCTGTAAATATATTATTACACATGTTTTATTATCCATTATATGCCGAAAAAAACGTATTAAAATCATCGACTAAAATTTTCACATTATATCAGGTATCATATATTTTAATTTTCCATTTTTTTCATCCGACATCCTTGCCACTCGATTGTGTTGCGGGTCAAATCTGCAATAACGGCATTTACAATACTTTATTGCTTTTTCTAATTTTCTTCTCATAGTTACGAGCCATAACCAAATTCTGATTTTGTTACATAAAGATCCTCATATCCGCCAAATATTAATACTTATATTTTATTTATTGATATTATGTTCGGATATTTTAATAGAAAAATAATGAACTGTGAAAAATTTCCTTAGATTTTTGAAAAAGTTGCAATAATTTTGTTCGCTGTAGGAATTAAAGAACTAACTAGATAGCAAAGGATGATAAAGGAGTAACTTTTTATAAGGAATTTAATGGTGTTGCTGAAAGTCACTAAAATGATAATCATAGTAGCCAAAATTAGAACTAATTTTTACTTTGCCTAATAAGCAACAGTAACAAAGGCTAAAAGTATTTTCTTTATGATAATTTCTGATCCTAAATAATATGAGCTTATTAACATTGGCGTAGTGGTTCCACGGATAATCAAAATATGTGATAACGTTACTGTTACTTAAGCTACAATGCAAAGCTTAATACAATGCTTCTAGACTAGTCTTGAATGTGTTCCTAGTTGTTCTAGAGCAGATCTGTGCATGGATATGATACACATTTTATTTAAAATTAGATAGATTAAAGTCGAGACCAGATATGGAAAGTTTAAAAGCAGGAGGCTCCGATTAACTATGTACAAAGTTCTGGTATAAACCGGAAGCCACGTTATTTCAATTCAAATATTTTCCCCTGAAAAGAGTTAGATAGATGAACGGCACGACTCTATTGTTAAGGAAAGGTATGACTGTAGGGGCAAAGCATTACTAATTTGTGGTTGAAAGCATATAACTTACAATAAATAAATTAAAAATATAATTAAAAATTCTAGCCCGGCATTATGACAATTTCACAATAAATAATTGTTCGTTTATAATTATTTATGCATCAAAACGGATTAATTCTTTAGTTGGATGAATATACGTGCTTCCTTTAATATAAAAATGATTTTTAACAGAAAAAAATGCATGAATATATTGTATAATACTGTAATTATAAAGATGCAAAAATTTCACATTTTTGAAATTAAGCATTTTAAATGCTTAATTTGAATGGTTTGTAATTATAGAAGTATCAAAAGGATGCACTAAAGTTAAACATTTTCAAAACAGAATAATTACTTTAGAACTGGTGTCTCAAACTCAAACGCAGCCAAGAGCCAGTCAAATAATTGTATATCAGATGCCGGGCCGTATTTAATATTATTCGGTAAACCGAAACCTACTGTAAACTAAAAAAAAGGCTTTAACAAGGACCCTTTTGTTGCCAGGCCTTTACGACTTATTTAAACAGTTATAAGTTTGCATTTTTTTTCTGTTTTAATCTCCGAAAGATATTACAAACATTGATTTTTAGGAAAGAAATCAAGGCCGCGGGTTGGATAAGAAACCTTAACGGGCCACCAGTTTGCAACCCTGCTTTAGAACAAAACACTATCAAAATTTACATAATGGTGTAAGCAAACTAATGAAGTTCAATTACAGTATTTACGAATATCATAATTTGTTTCATAGACAGAGTAATATTATTTTCAGAGCTATAACTTACATTCATCATTCCAACTTCAGATCCTTTATAATCTATTATCTCTAATTGCTCTTTTAATTCTACCTGTAATATTAACAAACGCATAATTTTAATAAAAATAAATTTAAATGCGCTTAATATAATTTAATAAATAAAATAGTATGTAATGTAATGTACAAACCAAATAAGCTAAAGGTTGCAGATAAACTTGTACATTGCCAATGCGTACATCAGTTTCTGGATCTTCTAGAAATGGATCACGTTCCTAAAGAAGAATATAGATTATTAGTAAAAATTATAGAACTTTATCTTTCAGAACATTTTATTTTACATCTTACAGGAGGTAAATCCCATTCTTCTTCACCCATTTCGTAATTTTGATACATTTCTTTCATCACATAGAGACGATTCAAAAATTTTTCTTTTGGCCATTCGAATTCTTGCGAAGTCTCTAAATTTCGCATTTTTACATATACCTTTAAGAATTAAAACCAATATTAATCGAATTATTACGAAATTTACCTAAAGATAAAGTACACTAAACAAAGACAAAAAACATGGTTTCTTCTAATTTAAGAATATATTTGTTATGATTGATTAATCAATTAATATGAAAAATGACACATTGTAAGCTATATGGCCTTATCTCCTTGTAGGTCAGGTCCACCGTAATAAGCACAATTTCGTCCATTATGGGCGTACCTGACCTGTAACGGCATCGATTAATGTAGGTGACGGATGGAGAACGATGTCTAATTTGTGCTGACCATTATAAATTATAAAGTCTAAAGTGGATTCGGATCCGCAGTGATAGTTAACATCGTTATATGCGACCTTCTGGCCGACGCATATTTCTTATTAATAATAATGATAACAATTTTCAACGTGAAAATTTATTAAAATCATAGAAACGATTTTCTTTTCAGGTTGAGATTCTATTTATTAATTTTACGCACGCTTTTATTTAATGCATAAACTTCAATTAAGTTTTAATTATAAGCCTATAAGAGAAACTAACCTCCGTTCTTCCCGTTAGTTTACCAAGTAGTTGAGGAGCTATCAGTAAAATTTCAAATTTAACCCTTTTGTCTAATTCTTCACTTATGGCATTAGCTTCTTCGACACCAGGAAGCACTTCTAACAAATCTTTGTTTAGCAAGGCAGTTTCTGTAAAGAAAATAAGTCAAAGCCATTTTATTATTCAAAAATTAATTGTATATAAGACTATATTTTTAAAAAATAGTTAATCGATACATTGAAAATAATAACAGACCACGAGAATTATCTTCTGAAGCCATATTGATTCCGGCTTTGATGGCGATTTCTTCTTGCGCTATTTCGTAAGTTATTTCGGGATATTTTTTATTTGATTTGTTTCTTTCTTCCGGATTTACAAATATGTACAATTGGGTAGTGCCAAACATTATCCTAATAAAAAAGACATTTTTAAAAATAGAGTTTCTTTTTAAAAAATTCTAATTCGATAACAAACAAACAATAAAAATCGATTTAAAAGTGTAATACCTATCATTATGTTGTAAAGAAATTTTGTTAGAAACGGAATCGCCATTTATTAAGACCCTAGCATCATTGGTACACTTTTCTAAAGTTACACCCCCATACGTTTGTACTCTTATTAGTGCGTGCTCTGGCTGAATACTGAAAAAAAAATAAATTAAAAAAAGTCAATATTTATAAACTTTAGTCAATATACAAAGGAAAATGATAAAACTTCTTTATTTAGATTTTATTTTAATTAGTTTTATTACTTTTTAACGCCTTTTATAAATAATAATAATAGCTTATAAGATAATAAACTCGTATAGCTTTCAGTAGTCTTTTTTTTAATATTTTATAGCATATGTAATAGAGAAAATAAGTAATTTCTGCTCACAAGAAATCATTTCAGATAACGATACTCAGTTTACAAAGTAAATTATTAAGCAAATATTACTATGATATGTTATTAAAGTAAAATAAATTTATGTTACTAAAGTGAAATGAAGCTATATGACATAACGTATTACCTGTTTTTTTAATTAGTCTGCTGATTATAAGTCAAAATACATTACGCAAGTAAATAACGAGTATTTTATCAAATAGGCAAATTTAAATAAATTTTTAAATAGAATTCAATGTTACAAAATGTCTTTTAAAAAATATCGTATGACAAAAACAGAATGAATTATTTTAAAAAGTCGTGTGATATTATTTCATGCGAAAGACTCATGAAATTCCATGCATAAGATCTGAAAGAGGAATAAATTGAGTCTCATTTAATTTAGAATTAATAAAACCAAATTAAAATCATCCTTTAATATATTTTATCAATAAATAGAGGATATATTTGGTATTAGAAAGGAGTTTCATTCGAATGAAAATAATCAATCATTCGATTATCTAAATTTTTCGAATGATTAATTCGTGTATCACTTTGGTAATTTTGGCTTTAAAAATCACGAAAACATTGTCAAAAAGTCTTCGATTACAATCGAAATTTTGCAACAGAAAATTATTTTAAAACACAAGGGTATGATTTTACTTCATTGAGAAGAACTGCAGTCACACACAGTCTGATAGTTGTATATCAAGTATCGTAAAACCAATAATAAATTAAACGAGTTATTTTAATTATATATTTGATATGTTCCTATTTGGTGGACAATTAAAACAGTTTCAGTTTTTAAGAATATGTTATTTATTTAAATAAAAACATTTAAAAAAGTATAAATTAAAGTAATATTTAAGTATAATTAAAAATAACTTTATTAATAACGCAATTTTAAAACTAGTTTTTATGCATAATGTAGAAAATATGAAGTGATTATAACGTCCTTTGAGCGCTAAATATCTGAAAAATTGCAAGAATTTAGCCAAAAGAATAAATTTTATAGATTTGTATGATCGTTCGATTATACAAATCATTTAAACGAACGCATTACTATTAACATTTAATCGCGAGTCTAGATAAATAATGAAGTAGAGAGTATGAATTGGTAGTGATATTCGAGAAGAGAAGCATTACATGTATAAAGTAATTATAACAAGTAAAGACCGAGGAATATAAATTTTTGATGTGTTAAAACGATTATAAGTTTATCTAAAATTATTGTTATTCAAGTGATGCTTTTAAGCGATATGTTGGATTAATGAGAAATGTTAGAGTGGAGTTATAGTACGTTTTCAAGAGAGGAGTGAAATTAATCCGAAATGCACATTGTTTATCAATGATGTAAGAAATAAAAAGATAAAAGTCATAAAAAATCATTATTCGAAACAGATATTGGGCTGCAATTTTAAAAAATTGTAGACCTATAAATTCCCATTGTCGTCCGTCTGTTGTCTTTCTTTAATCTCGAGAACGGAGTTAGATACATGAAAGGCGAGACCAGATATGGAAATTTTATATGCGACCTTCCAATGCAAAACAGAAGTCATGTTATTTCAATTCAAAAATTTCCCCTGAAAGGCGTTAGATAGATGACCGACACGACTCTATTGCTAACAGGAAAGTATGATGTACAGGGGCAAGACACTACTAACTTGACGTGGAGAGCATATGTTTTAAATTAAATACATTAAAAATATGATTAAAAATTGCAGCCTGGCATTGTGACGATATCACAATAAAATAATTGCTCGTGTTGTTAAAAGATTCAAAAATTTCTATTTTGAGACATTTATAGCCTACTGTAATAAATTGTTTACAGTTCATCCAGATTTAGCCAAATAATAAACAAAAGAGAACTACGATAAAAAATTATTTTAAAAGAATAATATCCTCTTCAATTATATTTTTTCATATAATTATCAAATAATTAGATTTTAAGAAAATAAATCCGTGAAATAATTTTCGATATATGAATGCTCGATAATAGTTATTTTTAAAGCTATTTAATGATTTTATGGAAATTGTCTAAACTTTCAGACAGATTATGTAAAACTAATAAAATTTGAAATCAGTGTTATACTTATTTCTAGATTAATATAGAAATTTAATTAAAAAAGAAAACATAATAATAACCTGGGTCCAAGTAAAACGATATCCACATCTCCTTTTCCAACCACATTATCTCCGAATTTTAATATGTGAACAATTTTACCCGAAAGTTGAGGATCAAAATTAAGATTAGCGAGATGAGGATATTTCTTCTTTTCTTCCTCCAACTTTAGCTTTTCTTCTTCTTGCTGCAAAAATATAAGCATAAATCATTTAGCTGTTTTTAAAAAATATATTTTTCTTTATACGAAAAGAAGAAACTTACTACTTCTTGATGTCGTTTAGCAGCATCTAACTTTTCATCGTAACTCTGTTTAATTTCTTTGATTTCTCGATTATTTTCGGCCATAGCTGCCTTCATCTCTTCTTCCCATTTCTTTTTTAATCTCGCGATTTCTATTATAAAAAGTACAGAGTTTCAAAATAAATGTTTTTCATACATTACTAAGTAAGACTTTCGCCCTTACTGCATACTAAAGTATCGATTATCAGTTAAAGATACCGATATTCTAGAAGTCAATTAAAGTATCGAATGATCACGAAACAGATTAAAAAGTTATCGCACGTCTGTTTTATTTTTCGATTTGATATTCGTTTTTAAAGTTTTGATTTATGAGATTTATAGTTAATCTATATTATTGAAACAACTCAATTAAAAACAATGGAAACTTAATATTTATAAACCAATACTGCTAAGAATATAAACTGATTTTCATTATTAAAAATATTTTATAATGTATACAATACTTTTTTTTAATAAATATAAATTTTGGATAAGTTTGTCTTCTTGACCTAAAACTCCTTTCTTAAATTCAAAAGCAAACAAACAAACAAAAATTCAAGAAATGACAATATATTTTATTCGAGAACGTATTTAATTGTTATAATATAAATTTATAAAATGAACATCATGTAAATGAAGTAGAGACGATGAAAATTTTATCACAAAATACACGTTTCTATCTACAATAGTGGAAGATCTCAAAGATAAACTGTGAGTTGAAGGTGTGGATTTTTTAACAGCACGCTTTAAACATTCAATAAGTGCATTAGATGAATTGCAGGATCTTACATTAAATAATGAAATTTAAATTAGACAATAAATATATGAGTATAGCTAATGATGAGTAAAATAAACTTATAAACATTCATATCTACAATAGTGGAAGATCTCAAAGATAAACTGTAAGTTGAAGTTGTGGATTTTTTAACAGCACGCTTTAAACATTCAATAAGTGAATTAACTGAATTTCAGGATCTTACATTAAATAATGAAGTTTAAATTAGACAATAAATATATGAGTATAGCTAATGATGAGTAAAATAAACTTATAAACATTCGCAATAAGTAATTTATCCTTTATCATAATTTTCTTTATAATTTTTTAATATAAATTTATCTGACACTGATATAAAATATTTTTACAATTATAGTTTTAATAGATTTTAAAGTTAAAAAAGTAATTTTACAATGTATATAGTGTATGTGTAGTGGCCTGTATTTTAATTTTAATTGCATATCTGTGCAATATTATTTTTTTATTGATATAAAATTTCATTCAAAGACTCGCATATATAAAATTTAATTTAGTGGCATTACTTATTAACGGAAATTAATTTTATATATCTATCTTCGAGCGAACGAATTTCAATTTTAAGAAAAATAATTAATTTAGTTTATATATATACCTACATAAAATAATATATATGCTGTCATTCTGTACAAATTATGTGTTTAATTTTGTAGAATTTTTTCAAGAATTAAAGAACGATGATACAAAAATAAGAATTTAATAAAATAACAAACTTAGACTAGTTTTTTTTATCCTTTCCTCTCATTGAGAAACAATAAGATGTCTGTTTATCGTTATCGATGTTTCTATATGTAATAATAAAGTAATTTATATAAGGTAATGGTTTATGTTATTCACGCATATTTATTTATTTATATATCAAAAATTAATTACGATCATATTACTTTTGATGGAAATTCTTTACCTTCTTTTGTCATTCCTGGACCAACCGGTATATCTACAGCTCCTTTCTCTAACATCCTTTTCAACTTCTCATTTTCCTCTCGAAGTTCTCTTATGAGTTTTTCTGTAGGATCTTCGTTAATAATAGCAACCGTTTTAATTTGTTTGGCACGATCGGCTAAATAATCATTATAAAATTAATAATTGTTTTACTGTATATATATATATATATAAACACAATAGAAAGTAAGAAAGAATTTACCGTATCGAAGAGTAGAAAAGGTTTCTTCGTAGTTAATATCGGCTGGACTGATGGCGGCTATCTAAAATAATTATTTGGTTCATTATGTTTATTGGCGATAAATAGAAAGTTTTCAAATTAAAAAATATATATATAAAGTACCTAACTAACCATAATTGTTTTACTGTTTCCACCAAGAGCATTCATCAAAAGTCTGGTTAACACAGATTCTCGGTAAGGCACTATATATTCAAATTAATTTAAAATATTTATAATTATCTTTCAATTTGTAAGTAATAATAATAATTATTATCATCATTTTTTTATATTTAAGAATTAAATTTAAATAATAATTTTTTAAATTTTAAACAAACAATTCAAATGAAATTCGGAATAAAAAACGAATTAAATATTAATTTTTTAAAATTGTTTTGTAAGATATTTTTAAAACAATTTACATTTTATTTGTGATTTTTTAAATATCTAGCTAATAAACGAATAGATATTTGTTAATAATAAAATGATATAAATTCGTTAGTGAGAATAATTTATTTTTATATTTTTATGCACAGTACAAACATATTTTTAGAACACATTGTCACGCAGTTTAACAGAGTTCAATATGTCATTAAATAAATAACGATGGGATGTTCCATTTTTACTAAATTGTAGGTTACACTCTACAATCATAAAATATTCATAGAACTTCAGAGAAAATATAATCGTATATCGCTTTAATGCGCTCTCAATTTTTTCTTTAATCTATTATCGGAAAAATATGATAATTTAAACCAACATAAATTTTTGTATATATTCGTATTAAAGATTGAAAGCATTTTAAATCATTATTAAGACCAATATTTTATATAAAATTAACTCATATATAGGAATTTAAACAATTAACAAGTCAAAATTATTGTAACATTGCAATTTTTAATTTATTTAATTTAAAATATATGCTCTCCATCTCAAATTAGTAGCATTTCACTCCTGTAAATCATACTTTTCCTGAAAACAGCAGAGTTATGCCGGTCATCTATGCACTGTAACTTTGTTCTGAGGAAAATTTCAATTGAAATCACTGAAAGTACTAGACAGTTTGTAATAGTTAATCGGGACCTCCTACCAATTAGCTTTCCAAATCAAGTCTCGACTTTAATTTTAAATCTATTTAACTCTGTTCTCGAGATTAAGGAAGGACAGACAGTGGGCATTTATAGATCTACAATTTTTACAAATTGCAGCTCAATTAATCACTATAAATAATATTAAAGCAAAGTAATAATATTTTGCTTGATAAAACTAAAAATTTCAACGAAAAAAGTCATTATTTACCTACCTCTAACATTTTTACCACCCGCTCTCTCGGCCAATGCGTGTATGCATTTTCCCAAACAAGATAGGGATTGGTTAATGGCTGCACTTTCTTTAAGTCTATCTCCAGTAGCTCCCGTCGTTGCTACTCTTTCACTGTAATATATATATATATATATATAAAGCTTTCACTTATATCCTATAACAGCTTACTTGTATGATATAATAAAAACATTTATGGCAAATTTAGGCATCATCAATAATATAGGCACGCTTCTTACCTACTTAATTTCTAATTAAAATTATTCTCTATTTATTTACAACGTATAATTTATATAAAGTTTAGTACATATTTTAGCACACAATTAACAGAAAAACCACCAAATTTTTATTTTAAGTACTTAAAATGTTGGGATATTTAGATTTTTCTAGTTTTATTTCACTCATAAATATGAGAAATTCAGTCAATATTTCGGTTAAGATGTACATTTGGGGACCGAAAAATGAGTTTTTTCTTTGTTTTCAGATAACGTTTTTGTGTCTGTGACCGATTTAATATACCCATAATAAGTGAGAAACGGCGTAACGTGGGGAGACAATACTGGCATCAAAAATTCTTTATTTTCACGCGATGCAAATATTGATTTTTGCAACCATTTCATACCGGAAACGGAAGTTATTAACATTTATTGTTGCCGAGCGCATCGTTCGCGTCGCATCCGCATTTATGATGGATCGCATCGCGTCTATAAACATTTAAATACATTATGGAGAAGGTGTATGGCATTTACATCTGACTTTATCTTTTCAAAATCTTGATTTTCTATTTCGCTATAATTCAAGAATCATTCATTCCTGTAATTTCTGAAATTTTTAAGAATAAAAGTTCCAAAAATTCTCCTTCATCGAGTGTCTTTACAATCAGAATTTGAAAAAAAAGAAAGGGGAAAAAAGTTAATATTCTAAACGTAAATTTCTTCCCAGATGCCAGACAATTTTAAGAAATAGATGAAATCGAAAACACAAGAAAAAATAAAGAAATTTGGTGTACAGCCAATATTTTAGTTAAAATATCCTTAGGCAGTAAGAAAGCTGAGTTTAATTGATGAGTTTCCTATACAACCAAAGGCAAAGACAATACGCATCAGCCTTAACACTCAAACGATTATTTAGTTGAGGAATAAGAATTATATTCATATGATATAAATTGAAGTTTTATAAATTGTATGAATATGCCAAATGACGAATCATTGTTAAAAAAAATTAAATTTAAATTGTAAAATCTGTTAACAATTAATTATAAGTAAAATTATAGAAGTCGTCAACAAGAAAGTTATTTAATTTGAAGTATTGTTTAAATTAGAAATGTTTATTACGCCAATTCTTCAATTTGAATAGTAATAGTAGTTTGAACAGAAGAAAAATACTAGACAATGAAACAAAATCTTCATTATTCCAAATTTCTGTGATATAAGAATATAATTCTTCCAAAGGAAAGGTATTTTAAAGTTTTAATTTTCTTCACGGTTTACGGTTTCAGTAAACTTTTAATAGTCTATTATTTATTTATTTACTAATATTTTATATTTTTAACATCATCTGTTTTTACAGAAATGCCTTGGAGAAATTTGATGACAAGAAGAGTAAGTTGCATTAAGATGTAATATTGAGAAGTGTTTTGTCATCTTTCGGATAACTTTTAATCGATAAATATTTTACTTTTAGTTATTATTTTATATTGTTTAGATTTAATTTTAAAAATATTACATTAATCACAGTTATAATAAAATTTTGTCATTTAAAGTTTTATTGATCACTGAGAAAACAATTTACTATTATTTATATTAAATTAATTATTTAAAATAAAATATTTTCTGACAACTTTAAACCATTTATTAATAGATTCGAAATTATATTTACTTTTAGAGATGTTAATAATGACGTTGCTTAATTAAAATAATCTAAATTTGATTTGCGGATAATATCTTTGATGACATTTAGGATGTATTTTAAAGTTTCAAAAATTAATTGCCTATGCACTTATAGTATTTGTTATATCTTCATGTAATGTTACAAGCCGCATAAGTGTACAACTTAATATTATTATTATTATATTATTGTAACATTAAATGTTGACAATATGAAATATAAATTAAGGCACAAATGTTTCATACTATCAACTGCGATTAGGCCAGAGTACTAAGTTAAGATAATCACATAACCTTAAGTTTAGTAATATTCGATTATCTAAATTATCTAATCTAACTTATCCTTCAATAACTTAGACTTGACTCAATTTGACCCGAGAAATATCACTATGCATCCATATAGAAACGTAATAATTACTTTTAAATTATTAAATTTAGTTCAGTAATTAATTATTTTAATAATTATTATTTAAATTTTATATTAAATGGAAGGGATTTGAGAAGAAAAGACCCGTATAATGAGGGTTTTTTTTTTGTCACAATCCTTAATAGAGCAGTTTAATGGAAGTTTCTAAGCATTAGAACATTTAAGTGTAAACTTATTTTAGAAAAATAATTGTAAGTTTTTATATATCGAAATATTTAAAAGCGAGGGCCTTTTTTAAAATCATTTCCATTATGGATTCGACTAAGCCCATAATGGGGTCGGTCGAGTGGTAAGAGACAGACCACCCCAGAAAAATTCGTAGGGATTTTTGACTCCTCGGATTTTCTTGCAGATCCTACCAGATCGAAACCGTCTCGTCTACTCAGCCATCTTGTTAAACGTTAAACGAATGGATATTTATCTATCATATTCACAATATATGTCTATTATTAACTATAGGCTATAATAATAATTAAAATACAATTCGATAACTACCGTTTAAGGAAGAATATTTATCAGATTCTATCCCAATCAAAAATTAACGTTAAATAATAATAATAAAAAGAAAGGAATTGTTTTATCTGTCCTCTCTTTTAAACTTTATGTAGATTCCTATTATAAAATTTGAATAAATCCGTTTTTAGTTAATAGAGTAAAGAAAAAATAAAGATCAATTTAATGTTATTTCTCACTAAATATAGATTAGATCAGGTCATTAGAATCAGAAATCAATAAATATATATAAATTTTATTTTTTTGCCTAAATCGATTTTCTCTGTCATTTCTTTGGAAAATTGAATCACGATAAAAACCATTTTTGATTTTCTCTAAGGAATAATAACATTTTCTAAAGCGAAAATAAAAAAAGGAAAAATGTAAAAATTGTCTTATTAACTAGAGAATAAGGGGGGAAAATGTGAGAAGAATAATTATTATCCGAAATGAAACGATTTTGATTAGAATAACAACAAAGAAAACGTTAAAATAAAAATAATTACTTTTATAACAGGAAAGAAAAAATCGAATAACTTTATTTTTTGTATTGACTTTAGCTTTTATTTTCTCATTTCGATATAAACTAATTAACCTTATTTGTACGAGATTGAAGCGAGATAGAAAAGTTACGAGGCGACACGTTTATGAAACGATATATTTTTATTTTAGTACGGGAAAAGAATTGCAGGAAGTGCAGCAGATATTTTACGATGATTTACTGGAAATGATTCATCTATTAAATTATTCTTTTATAGCAATTATAATAAGAGAAAATAATATATAACTATACAAAAAGTAAAGAAAAAATGATATTAATAAATTTAAAAAAATAATTAGAAAACATATTTTTGCTTTATACGCCGTAATTCGTGTTTAGTGTCATAATTTTCAACATATTTTTCTCATTAATTTCTTCTGATTCAAAGAAAAATTTCATATAGAACCGTTTCTAGCAAGAAAAAACTAACTGGTATCGAAAAACAAAAATATTTCTCTTCGTATTTACGGTTGTAAAAGCAAATTTACTTTGCTTCAGTAATGTAATTGGCACTCGTAAAATTGTTGATGCTGAATAGAAAAAGAAATCTTTATTATCTCTTGTAATCTTTATCAATTTTGCAAAATAGATGAAATAAATCACATCTTTAGTGAATCTAAAAGTCTCTGATAGTGTGATCTTTATTTTAATTTTTACGCTATTTTAACACTGAGGAAAGTAGCCGAACAAATATATAAAGATAAGTCTATCTGATGGATTGCAATTAAAATAAAATTCAATTAAAAATAAAATCAGAAAGTGGATTCAGTTAATTTATTACATACAAATTCCCTGTAATATATAATGAAATTTTTAACTTTTAATTTATTTATAAATAATTTTTAAAATATACTGTAAATAAGTATCATTTTTTATTGTTTTTTTTAAATATTGTATATTAGCGAGTGAATAGCCTAAAAGTCAGTTAACCAAGTATTTTAAAATTAATTGTTAAAAAATAATCGTAAAATCTCTGTTAACTGAATTCATTTCGCGAAATAAACTTCATTTGTTTGTATAAATTATAGAACAATTTGTGTAGTTTTCGATTCGTTTACATATTTTAATGACCTCTCACGACGTACTTACATCTTTTTCAATCTTTATTTTACTCTTCAGACATATAAAAATTACATTATATATATATATATATATACAAATTCTTGAAATATTTAATAAAAAATAATTTGGCCTGATAACGTTTAAAAATGAAGAAAAATACAGATTATTATTCTGTGGAAATGATGATGGCGTCATTAGATTTAATTTATTCACTTAATAGGTTAAAAATGTCTTTTTGGACTCCCAGTTATGAAGAAAAGTCGCGTAATGTTTGCTGTAAACTGTCATTTACCCCATGTTGTAATTTAATGTAAGTCTTGTTAAATCATAATCATTATTCTGTATGAAAGTTTAAATCGACGTTAATGAAAATCATCGCATATTTTTCTTTAAGAAAATGTATTTATTTTGTATTAATATTTCTAACGCTTTTACTGCTATTACTGATATCGATGATAACATTAAGTATATAATTACAACTTGAAAGTAACAATTAGGTTACGTAGGGTCTATCCATAAATGATATTATGCAGGAAATCGTTACAAAGGGGTGAAAAGTGTTTACAAAAATGTTATGTAATGTTAGAGTTTCACTCCTTTAGAAATAAAAGTAAATCATTCGGTTACTCAAGTGTTGCGTAGAGAATCGTATTGTTTACGTCACTGTTTTGTATGTTACGGGTGTAATTAATTGAATAATACTACC